CCCCTTTCAACAAACACAGTTAGGTATACCGTGCTAAAGAGTGAACAGCTTGTTTATTTCTCTCATAGTTAGCTAATTTCTTTATTATAAATGCATTATTATATGCCTTGCTTTTACGTTCGTCTACCAGTTTATTTAACAAAATATTTGTTGTTTGCGCAATAAATTATTAAGAATACTCTCGGGGAGAGAAGATGGCACAACTAATTTAGAATGAGAAGTAAAAGCTGTCCTGCCTTCCATAGGCTTATTTTATAGAGTATATCATAATCTACTATTTGTTTCGTAAGTATCATCTGCTCTTTCAGCAAGACGATCTTGATTTAAACGAAGGAGTATTTTGACCTATTTGCCATGATAGTCTGAATATGTTGTGAAAGAGGGCCTATTCAGTTTTCTTGCCGGGAATATGTATTATAAACAAGCATTTAATTTGCAATGCCTCACGAATCTGGAATGTTTCGACTGCATGAATCTTATATTAAATGTAAATAACGTATTATTTGAAAAAAAAGCGTTATCGCTACCACAGTCTTCTTAGCAAACAAACATTTAGCTAAAGAAATGCTGGGACGATTGCGAAATGCAATAATCATAAAATTGCTTTCAGAAAGTATCAATCCGACAAGCGTAAGAATAATTTATGTAGAAAAACTAGTTTTGAAAGAATCCCCTAATAGATTGTTATTATAATACCTTACAATTCGTTGAAAGAGGCGACTGGAAGGGATCAGTAAGTTGGTCTCACTGGAAGTTGAAGGAGGATCGACTTGGAACTGTGATAATAAATTTGTGCCAATAGGTCATCTGCGCACCACCATCCATCCCTGATGAACCCTTGCCGAACTATCATTCGTCATATGTCAGACGTTTTCTGTGCATAACACCATGCTTTACGATAATTCGCCAAGCACGAAGACACAAAAGGTGGCCAACTACAATCCACCGACTTTTTATAGCCTAGCTAGGTCCACCTAGTGAGGCAGCTCATTATTTGGTAGGATATCATGTGCTTTGCCTAAATGTTTGCTGAAAAGTTGTTGCGGATGATATGTGAAGCGGCTGTAGATGAAGCGTGAAACGGACGCAATTGTGGCGAAACAGTTGCATCCTCCCATAAAACATATATGGCTTTGATGCTGGTTATTGCTGATTTTTCATTCTCCTAATCGTTATTCGTATATTCTTGAAGAAAAGAACAGCCCTCTTCACCAGCTTGCCTGAGCAACATGAGGAAGTCAACAAAACGGAGTTCTCCGTAGTTTACAGCATAAACTGTAAGGACTGTGAACAAAATGCATCGAAGAGACTGGAAGGAGAATCAGCACAAGGTTCAAAGAACACTAGTGACTATGCAGAAAAATGGATGCGGAAAGATCGGAGATAGCTAAATATATCGCCCTTTCCAGTCACACAATTGGCTGAAATGCAAGGGAAAGGTTTGCCTTATATAAGGAAAACACCAGGAAAAGGAAGATCATGAAGGCTGTAGGCATTTTCTTTCAAATAAACCTGATAAACAGGATAAAGGGAAAAAACGTATTGCCTGGGCAGTCTTGGAGATCCAAAGAAGACATACCAAAAAGACTCTTGGACCCAGAAACAACTGTTTAACAACAATAAGAGACATATTGTTGTATGACTCTTTATTTCGAAGGGAAAGTTAATCGGAAGGAATTCATAATGTAGTCTCACCGGAAACCGAAGGAGAATTGCCGCGTAGGGAAGACTGCTGAATTGTACGAAGAAGTCCTTTGCTCACCGTCTTGCGATCCTGATGAAGCTCTGCCAGGCTTTCGTCTGTACTCTGAAAGACATCATCAGAGCAGGCGCCCATATTTCACGAAATAAAACAAAAATATACTAAACCAAGAAAAATAAGGTGGCTGGTGCAACCATAGTCGCTTTTTTATACGCCTAACTTCGCGATCTTAATGAAGTATCCTATGATTTGGTTGGCTGTCCCAAATTTGCTTCATGCCTTCAGATGAGTAAAGTTAA